CGCCCTCCCGCCGCCTTGCCGATGCCGGCGCCGCCCAACCCCCACCACCGCTAGGCCATTCCCCACCGGAAAAGAGAGAGGGTTTCGCCGCGGTAATCTCTCCACCACCTTCCTGGGCAAGTTTTCTGGTGCTCCGGCCGCGCAGGGCGGGATACCGGAGGCTGTGCGCCCACCGCGCCCGCCTGGTGTTCGGCAATTTGTCTGCTCGGCGATGGCCTTGAATCGCGAGGAGGCGCTCGCGGCGCTGCTGGAGGAGGAAGCCGATACCGATGTCCAGGGCGAGGACTATGAGATGCTCTTCATCCTGGACGTCGGTATCGGCTTCCTCCTCCAGCATCGGCGAAGTAGTCGGAGTAGAGCAAGCAAAGAACCGGCATCGACTGAAAGGCTATTGCTTGCTCTACTCCTACTACTTCGCCGACGCTCCACTGCACGTTGAAAAAAATATATTTCGGCGCCGTTATCGGATGGGCCGAAAGCTTTTCCTCAGGATTGTGAATTCCATCCTGGAGTTCGACAGCTACTTCAAGTGCAAGAAGGATTGCACCGGCACACTTGGATTCACCTCAATTCAGAAGTGCAGACAGCTATGAGGATGCTTGCATACGGAGCTCCCGGTGATTCACTCGGCGACTATGGGCGCATGACTGAGTTCACGACCATTGAGTGTTTCTACAAGTTCTGCAGGGCATGGGTGGCAGTGTTTGGACCGCAATACTTGCGATCACCCAATACTGAAGACACCGCTCGGATCCTAGCACAGAATGCAGCAAGAGGATTTCCTGGGATGCTTGGAAGCACCGACTGCATGCATTGGAAATGGAAAATTTGTCTATTTGCTTGGCAGGGGATGTACAAAGGCGCCAAAGGTGGTTGCAGTGTGGTACTTGAGGCAGTGGCCACACATGACCTCTAAATTTGGCACTCCTTCTTTGGTATGCCAGGAACTCACAATGACATCAACGTACTGCAGTGATCCCTTGTCTTTGCCAAGCTTGTTGAAAGTCATTCTTCTCCGGTGAATTTCAAGGTCAATGGGTGGCACTATAACAAGGGATACTACCTAGCAGATGGCATCTATCCGAGATGGTCCACATTTGTGGAGACTATCTCAAACCCTGTGCCAGGAGACAAGAACTTCCACTTTGCGATGGTTCAGGAGGCTTGCAAGAAGGATGTCGGGTGGGCATTTGGTGTGATTCAATCTCGATTTGCTGTTGTCCGGTACCCCGCTCAGATCTGGTCGAAAGATCAAATGTGGGAGATCATGACTTGTTGTGTCATCTTGCACAACATGATCATTGAGAGCGAGCAATAAGAGCCAGTGTTTGACACTGAATTATATTACAGGCAGGGTCCTCTTACCCAAGTTGATCACCAGGTACCGGCAACCTGGACTGCCTTCCTCAATATGTGTCGGGAGATCCGAGACCCACAGGTGCATCAACAACTGTTGCAGGATCTGGTGGAGCACCTATGGAGGCTTAAGGGCGACGCCTAGCTCAACTTGAGATGAAATATGAGTTTTAATTTGTTAAACTATTTGTTGAACTATAAAATTTGTAGAACTATTTGATTTATATTGATTTTCTGTGACGAACTATGTGATAAAAAATAGTTTCTGTTGAGTTTATGTCGAAGCATGCCGAACCCCGCCGAATAAGGGTCGAAATTGATCAATTTGCACCAATAGCGAGGTCATTTTGCGTCGAAAATAGGCTATAAGTGAACCAATTCGCGTCGAACGTGGGCCGAAAAATCGGCGGGGGAGACTTGAGGGCGGCGGATCACCCCAAGCTGAAATTACAGCCGGCGCGCCCCAGGGCAGCCCTATTTCTAGCCCCGGGGTCTTAGTTTCACTTCGGAGGAGCAGTAACGCAGCGTGGATTACGAACAAACCAGAGGCTAGTACAGGTTAATTAATCTGGAGCTGCTACAGTTTACATGGCAAAATGAATCGAGGCACACTCACGTACGTAGCACACGCAGTCGGTCGGACACGTAGCTGAGCGGCTGAAAGCCTGAGATTGATTTGGTTCACCTCAGGCGGAAAGATCCATTGCGGCCGGCGCTACTGCTCTCCAGGTCGCTCCCGGCGAGCGTGAAGGAGGAGTGGCCGGAGGAGCAGCCGGCTGTCGTGGTGACGACCAGGTCGACGAACGCACTGACGATGGCGGCGTGGGTGCCTTTGCCGTTGGCGCGGAGGTACCACCCCAGCATCTTCTCCAGCCAGTCCCAGTCGCCCGCGCCGTGCGCCGTCATCATCTCCTCCATCGACGACCGGAAGTCCCGGTACGGGTCCGCGGACTTGAATGCCACCGCGACGCCGCCGCCGAATGACATCGCCCCCGCAGCCTCATGGCCGTGCGCGGGCGCCGGTGGCGGCTTCTTCTCGAGGATGGAGCTAGAGGGCGCGCGGGGCTCGAAGCGGAGGCGGTCGGACCGGAGACCGCGGACTATGGCGTCGGCCATGTCCTCGGCCGCGGCGCCGGAGGCTTCGGACTCCGTGGAGAGGCTGTCGGAGGCGGCACAGTCGTGGTGCATGCGCGCGGAGTAGTTGGTGAAGGAGGAGGACTCGGCGGAGTCGACGAAAAGGGATGCGGCGTTCTTGGCTGCCACCGCTGCCGCCGCAGAAGCGGACGGGGACCGGAAGGAATGAGCCGTTGGGTTCTTGCAGGAAGGCCACATCCATGCCTGTGGGGTGGCCGTCGGAGTGGGAGGCGACGACGGCGGAGTGTCTTTGTTGGCCGAGTTGACGGGGTAGAAGAGCGAGCTCAATGGTTGCTTCTTCACCATCGGTGTGACAGTTGATGGGAAGTGCAGAAGAATGGAGAACCGGCAGCAGCAACAGGAGTAGTTGGATGAAGAGATGGAGCCGAACTGGTGAAGAGAGAAGAAGAAGCTCGCGCATGTGTGCTTGTCAGTGCCTCTGTGTATTTCAAACTGGGGGTTTATTTGGTTCGGTACAAGCTATAAGCGTTACTCCTTTTGAAGGGGCCGGTGGGAGGGAAGGAAGAAGGTGAAGGTGAAGGGAAAGATCTTCTGTGGCTAGGGTTTAGAGCATCTACAACATACTGGACTGGACAAATTTGACCCCCTATAGGTCCACGGACAGGAGCTGGGCACCCCCCCTCCCTATGTCCGTCCGGGCAACCTCCAATTCCAAAATCTCAATTACATGCAAATCCATGCACGTGGACCATTGAACGATATGAATAAGCAAAACAACAATGAATATAACACACAAATAAAATTTAAACAAAAAATGTATCCGGGGAGAATATTACATAGTTCGAACATAAAATTTATTCATGGTGCATAGTTCAAACATAAAATTCAATTATTTCTAGTGTGCATCCACACATGCTCCAGATCAGTGGTTGGATGTGTGCATGGGTATCTTAAAGTTGTCAATACATCTCTAGGAAGTTCGCGACATGCTCTGCATCTTGTGCCGGGAGACAGACATGTACTCCGGACTTCTAAAAATCATGTGTGCGGGCTTTCCTTCTGTGATCATCCTCGACAATCATATTGTGCAAGATTACACAACATTCATGACCTGCAACAATGTTCTTGGATCCCACATATTTGAAATCCCACGAACAACACCCCAAGGAGTTTGGAGCACCCCAAATGCCTTCTCAATATCCTTCGTAGCAACTTCTTGTATTTGTGTAAAGAGACATCATTTGTTACCTTAGGGATCGGACAACTAGGTTCTGGGAGGATACTTGGCTTGGGGACACGCCCCTGCTTCACAATATCCTTCTTTGTAAAATATTGTTCAGTGCAAGAAATACTATGTGAGCACTATATTAGGGTCAAATACATTGAATATCTAGTTCAGGAGAGCTCTGATCGGGGATAAGTGGACAGTGTGGGTGCATTTAGTACAATGGTTGATCCGTATTAACCTCACTAATGCACCAGACACATTGCGTTGGAAGTTGGCACCTTCTGGGTTTTCACGGTCTAATCTATGTACAAAGATTTAAGCCTTCTCGGTTTTCACGTTCTAATCTATGTACATAGATTTAATCAACTCTAGACTCCGTTCAAAGCACTTTTGGAAAACAAAAGTATCACTCAAAATTAAAATTTCCATGTGGTTTGTTCATAGTGGAGTTATTCTTACTAAAGGTAATCTAGCAAAACGTAAATGACAAGGCAATAAACAGTATTGCTTTTGTGATCACGAGGAAACAGTGCACCATCTACTTATTGCATATCCATTTGCCACTCTATTATGGCGCATGATTCATGCGACGTTTAATTTACTTCCACCGACGAGTATTGCTGATATATTTGGTAACTAGTTGAGAGGGGTTGAGGCCAAAACTAAGGCACAAATATGTGTGGGTGTTTATGCTTTGCTTCGGGCTATTTGAAATTGTTGCAATGACTACATTTTGAATAGAGTGAAAGTTTGCAATTTTAGCATGTTATTTTCCGCACTACAGAATGGATCTGTATGTGGTCATTACCGCAACATGCGGAAGTGCCGGGGTGTATGGTCTCTGGGTGCAACCAATGAGACATGGTAGCACGGGATATGTACAATCGTTTTGTATGGCGGTCCAATAATAGACAATGTGTGTAGGCATATTTTCCTATCTGTGCCAGTTGTGGCTTGTAATAATTTTTTTAGTACTATGTCGATGTTGGAGATTGATACTCTTAAACGTTAATAAAATATGGTTCCGTGCATCATAATCAAGTGGAGGTCGAGGGTGATCCTCCTTTTCTAAAACAAAGTATGATGGTGGTATGACATTGATGATCCCGTACAAGTCTATCGGACGGTGCTTCCATAGCCAGCACATGCAACCAACTAAACCAAACATATTTGGAAAACCTCATGCTTCTCCAATTGACAATGAAGTTTATGTGTCCTCCTCCATAACTAGTTCTCTCAGGTAATTTGGTCCAAACACTCTCACCGCGGTCTAAGAAAATTCCACCATTGCCTCAATGCAAGTGCTCTCCCCTATCCAGACATCTCATCAACAAAATCTCCGGTTGTACCATATGCAAGCACCCTCAAAGCAGTCATGCATTTCTGCATAGGAGAGAAAATAGTTGTATGTGATAATCCTTCCTCCGCGTGAAGTGAAGAACGTAGCTGGCTTTCATGTCCAGCATGACAAACCTAGCTAGGGCCACACAGTTCATTACTAAGAAGCTCAATCGCTCTGCAACCAAAACAGTGACAGAGCCAGGAATTTGCTCCTTGGTATTCTTCTACATTTTTTTTGCAATGCTATGTAATTGGACGACGTGTGTGCAATAAGACAGCAACATAAACGAGTCAATGATCATATATTGATAATAGTAGCAAAGTATCATTGTGGCGGGTATGTCTAAAACTTAATAAAGATTACAAAACAAAGGAAAGTACAATATAACTATATGATCCCCTTTTTTGGAAGTGATTGATGACATCCTCATGTTTAATTCCCTGAAGAATTCTCTTTTAACAAATGTAACCCAACAATTGTTTAAATATTCATCAACAATTTTGTTCCTTAGTTGATTCTCCACATAGTTCACTAAGGAAAATACCCTTTCAATACTAGAAGTGGCTATCGGAATAATGAGCACCAAATTAAGAAGTTTGTAAACAATATAATATTATTCATGCTTTCCTGACTCAACCATCACAACCAAAGCTCACATAGATTCTTCACACTTCTAAACCTTTTTATCCACACATGAGAAATGTGCATGCTTAATTGCCATGGAAGTCTTGGAAATGCATCACTTGTGAAATCCTCCGCATAAAACTTTCTAGCATGCCTAACTAACACATCTTGATCATAAGCAACTAATAAATCCATGGGACTGCATGCTGCCACGCAAGCAAGTAGTTCAGTGTTTACCTCATCAAATCTGGTATTTAGCTCTCGAAATTGCCTATCAAGCATTTCAACCTTGAACTGATGGTAATTCATTGCGATATTAAAGAACCTTCTTTTAGGTTCCCTAAAAGGATAGTTAGGACCCTCCATCTCAACAACTTTGATTTTGTGCTTTACACAAAAAGAAGTGACCTTCTCAAGAAAATCATTCCATCCTTCATCTTCTCGCAAGCATTGCAAGTGAAACTTTGGAGATTAACAACTTCATAGAATTAACAATATCTTGATCTTTCTTTAGCAAAGCTCTACTCAGGTCATCAATATGTTCAAATATTTCTTGCATCAAGTGTGCCATGAAAACAAACTCAAATGTCTGAAATGATGTCAACATATAGTCATTGCCGCTAGTGCCTCTGTGCCATTATAATCTTTTGCAATCTTGATGAGAACATGCCTTATTGAAGGATATATAGATATAACATGGCTGATAGTCTTGTAGTGAGAGACCCAATGAGTAGCACATGGCCTTCAAGACCCATTTCTTGATTCAAACATGTATTGGTTTCTACTTCCTCCAAGTCTAATCTAACAATAAGTTCCTCAGCTTGAGCTATTTGAAGCATTCTCATATTTTTACAAGAATAGCCTAGAATAGTTAGAAAACATGCAAGCAATTGAAAGAACCAAGTACAATCAAACAACAACAACATACTTGAAGTTGATGGGCAAAGCAATGGACATAATAGGCATAAGGGGCCTCATCCATAATTAGTTTCTTCAGGCCACTAACATCACCTTTCAAGTTACTTGCCCCATCATATCCTTGCCCACGAACCATTGCAAAACTAAAATTCTACATCACAAGCATGATGTCAATTACAACTTTAAGTGTCAAATAGGAAGTGTCTTCGATATGCGCAAGAACAAGAAATCTCACAATTGCCATTCCTTTCTTTTCAATATAAGCAAGCAAACAACTACTTGTTCATTACGGTACACATCACTAGACTCATCGGCAAGTATTGCAAAATGTTCACCATCAAGATCTCTAATGACTAGTTTAGTAGTCGGCTAGATACAACACTTGATAAACTAATGTTGTATGTCATGGCATGTCATCTTACAGTTTTGTGGAGCATTCTTTACAACCACCCTATCAACCTCTTCAAATTTCATGCTAGCCAATTTTAAAGCTCAAGGAAGTTTCCTTTATTTATTGAGTCTTCACTTTCATCATGCTCTCCAAATGTCAAGCCTTGGCGCAATAGGAACCTCAAAAACTTGAGTGTCCATATCATATGCAGCTTATAGAGCCTTGTACTATGGGGCGTTTGAAGCAACAAACTCCCTAATAGATGTTTTAGGTGTACCGAACACATCACATTTTTCTTGAGCATCAGCATGAGAACTAGTTGTCGTGGTCCTAAGACTAATAGTAGAGAGGGGGTAGGTATGGAGAGGCAGGATCTCAGCTATGGTGAAGGTGTACACACGAGGTTTACGAGTTCAGGCCCTGCTTAGTGGAAGTAACAGCCCTACGTCTCGGTGCCCAGAGGCGGTCGGTTGGATCATGTGTGTTATATTACAGGGGGTGCGAACCCTTGTCCCAGAGGAGGGGGGTGGCTTATATAGAGTGTGCCAGGACCCCAGCCATCCTCCATTACGAGGGGCTTAATGTACATAAAGTAGGGGCATTACTGGTAACGCCAGCCTTAAGTGTTATTAATGACCTTAAAGACTATGGAGTGAACGCCTGCCCATCGCCACACTGAGTGACTCCTGGTCTTCGATAGGTCAAGTGATTCTCTGGATGGTCGAGTGACGATAGAGAGGAAGACTCCCGAGTGACATGACCGTCGAGTGGATTGCACTCGACATCCTCGACTGGGGGTCTCTTGCTGTCTCTTTGACTTCTTATCTTCTAGGGTAGTGACC